CTACATTCAGTTCTGCGTGCCTCATCTCAAAAAGATATATTAGAATTGGAAAATATACTGAAAAGGGCAACAAAAATGGCTAGGAGTATGAAACCGTTCCCAGAACAGGAAAGATTGAAAGAGTGGGACTGTTCAGCTTGGAAGAGAGAATTCTGGTATAATAGAGATCTATAAAATGAATACTGTGAAGAAAGCTTCAAATAGAACAAGAACCAGGGGTCACCTAATGAAATTAATAAGCAGCCCATTTAAAACAAACAAAAGGAAGTACTTCACACAATACACAATCAACTTGTGGGGCTCAGTGCCAGGGAATGTTTTGATGGACAAAAGTATAACTGGGTTTAAAAAAAGAAAAGAATTAGATATGTTCCTGGAGGATATTAGCCAAGATGGTCAAGGATGCAACTCATGCTCTGGCTGCCGCTAGCCTCTGAGTGCCAGATGCTTGGAATGAGTGACGGGATGGATCAGTTGATATTTGGCCTGTTCTGTTAATTCTCTCTGAAGCATCAGGTATTTGGCCACTGTCCTAAGATACTGAGAGGTAGATGGACCAGCTGTCTGATCTAGTGCGACTACTCTATCCATATATCTCAGTCGAGGAGAAATAGCTATTGAACACATTTCCAGAGATTGGGCAAATTCAGTCTGACTAGTCTTTTGGTAATGCAACATAACTTTTTGAAGAAGTGTTTCCACAGCAAGCATGATTTTCACAATATTGACTCCTTATTCCCCCTCAAAAGGGTCCATTCACCCATCTAAATAATCAAAAACTAAAACCCTCTTGAAAAAGGGGGAGATGCCAGAGACTCCATGAAGTTTGGTAAGGAGTTTGCTGTTACCACTGATTTTTTTTTTTTTTTTTTAAACACGGGTGGCACTCAGATTCTATGATAAGCTATCTCATTACCAAGCCACTCTCTCAAAGCCAACAGTTCACATTTGTTCTTGGTTGTAACTTTGCTGATGTCAATGGAGGTGACACCCTAGAGGTGAATTTTCCCAGTATATGAGAGTGCGTCTCTTCTCCATGCTTTGTTGTACAAGTGTAACGAGACACCCAAAAATACAGCATCCTCCTCAGAAATTGCAGATGGGCATAAAATGATGGCTAGACATCCTAAAGCCAGACACAGCGTCTTTCATAGGGCACTTCCGTAGGTCTCAGGATGCCGTGCTAATGCAGCCAAAATGACAGGAAATGACATCTGAGTTTGAGGGGGATTTTTTCTTTATACAGTGGCAGCTGAGAGAAACTGCTTTCTTCCTGAAAACCCTCCAAGAGGCAGAGCTAGTTAATTCCTGTAAAAACCACAGATGCATCAGCTGAATCTTTCAAAGATCCCCTCCCTAGATATCATGCAGCACAGAGTAGCTGGAATAACAGGAAATAACAGCCATTTGTCAGCTGCCTGTAGCAGCTTAGTTAACACTGCACCACTAGCTATCCCAAAACGGGTTAATTCCTGCAAATTCATTAGATTTCAGCCTGGTCTACACAGAAACATTGCACTGATTCAACTAAATACTAATGAATTGAATTAAGCTAAATCAGTATCAGTCTGCCTCTAACCAATATAAGTGAATCCACTCAAGGGGATTGCACTGATTTAATTAAAATCAGTTTAGCATTTGATTTAGTTAAATTGGTGGTGTTTGCCATGAGAGAGAAGCTCCAACCTTTATGTCATGTTTCATAGGACAGCTGGTTTTTGCAGATTGACAGCAGCAAAACACTATTCTTCAGAAACACGCAGTACACAGAATGATGGGTTATTTCCTGTAAATGCCCTGAAGGTTTGCTTACTTTTTGAAACTATGTTCCGCAGTTGTCTCCCCCTGCCCTCAGTATCTTCCCAGACAGTAGAGATGGAGTCACTTCAACTTAATGAGACGGGATGCATGAGCTTTCATGGAGGTAATTGGGATTTGCTGAACTATAGTGTCATATTCTGGAATTATTCAGGTCCTGGGTTGTATTCCTAGGGTAGAGTAATTTGGGTTCTGGGGGACTGTCTGGCTGCTTTGGTTTCAGACATTTGAAAAAAAGAAAAACAGACTAAAGGTTGTCTTCACTTTCTGAGTTTTGGGAAAGACCAAGAGATTTTGAAAAATGCCCAATGGCTTTAGATTGTCATACCCTCAGAAAAGGTAATGTCCAGTTGGAGCTCTCCATTTTGACTGATGTTGTGGATCTCGACTTATCAAGGGTACTGAGGTCACAAACTCCTTCAGTTGTAGGCAGTGCTATTCCTGAGCTATTCATGTGGCTCTGCCTTGGGTCACAAGGGCCTTTTTAAAATCCCACAGCTGTCATAGGTCTTGAAGTTCACTTGTCTAGGGCTCTGCATGGAGAATTTCCATCATCTGTAGCCCTAAACTAGTACTCTCCTCACTTGCACCCTGGTGCCACAACAGGTTGAGAGAACTCTGGTATTCTATAGTGGCTTCATAAGAAAAGTAAAGGCTCCCTGGATACAATCAAATGACTCCAAACAACTCAACTACAGCTGCTGGGATTGAATTTACAAAACTGATAGTACTTTCAAAAGTGAGAGTGATTTCTTGTGTGCCAGATTTTTTTTTGTAAACTTAAAAAAAAGCTCTTGTGCTTGCAAAGAAAATCTTTGCATTTTGAACCAAGTACAAACTGGTGAAAGGACATCTGTCTGAGACTGCACACATCACAAACAATACACCTGCAATAATTTTTGTGCAATAATTACATCTGTGTAATTTAAAGGCAATACAAAATCCCGTGATCAAAATTTGCAGAGCGGTAAGGTTTAAGAAGAGAGGTGACCATATTATTTTGAGAAATGGTATGGTCTTCTGTGAGTAATGTCTCATTTCAGTCTCTCATATCAGGGCAGCATGGGAAGAGGCCATTATTTTTCTTCCATCCCTGCCCCCATCAGGATACCTCTATTGAGGTTTAAAGCAACCAGAAAAGAGACACGCAGGGACAAAATGCAGTGTGTCCTTTGGATGTCATTGCCTGGTGGGCCATCCACACACCCTGGCTGTGGCCCAATTCCAGGCAACTGTCCTTGCTGAGTCAAAAGGAGGGAGCCCCTATGGTTCCTGAAGAGTAAGGCCAGGTCTTAGCATTACTCAGGCTGGAACAGGGAGCATTACTGGTAACTCTTCCATTCCTGTGACAGGTCTTACAATTTTGGGGTGCATTTCTGTAAAGCCCCAGCTGCTAGCAGCAAGAGATGCCAGCTGAGGTTCAGCTTTCTTTCAAGTAACTTTCTAACCCTCATGGCTGCAGAAAAAAGCTTGAGAACACAGAGCTCAGAAAACAGAGCAGCAGCACCTGCAATTCATTAAAAAGCATGAAACTTATGGAAAAAATAATTTGTCTCCAGTGTTGTAGCTGGGTTGGCCCAAGGACACTAGAGAGACAGGGTTGGTGACAGAAATAAGCTTTGGAGCCACAGAGAGCTCGTCTTTGGGGGATGTTTGGGAAGTGTATGTGTGGGATGGCATGTGGACAAAGGGGGGATGGTGTGTGGGAGTATTATGGGATGGGGAGTAATGGAGCTGCTGGGAGGAGTGGGGTGTGAGGGGAAGTGTTATGGGGTGGAAGTGAGTGAAATGCTAGGGGGTGGGTATGCTGCATGTGTGGGGAATTATGGGGTGAAAATGCAGGAGATGCTGGGAGAGTGGGGTGGTGGAAAAATGAGGGGAGGTGCTGGGAGGAGAGTGGGGGTGGTATGGAGTTGAGGGGATGCTGTGGGGGGTGTTATGGGGAAGGAGTGCGATAGATGCTCTGAGGGGTGGGAGATGCTAGGGGTGAGATGCTGGGAGATGTGGGGGTGGAATAAGGACAGGGGGATGCTGTGTGAGAGGAGGAGGCTTATGGGGAGGGAGACGCTGGGAGGGGTGGGGGAGTGTGGGAAATGCTGTGGAGTGTGGGGGCTGTGGGGATAGTATGAGGATGAGGGAGATGCTAAGGGGAGAGGGTTATGGGGTGGGAGTGAGGGAGATGTTGGGGTGGCATGAGGGAGAGGACTGCTGTGGGGGGAGGATTATGGGAGGGAGTGTGAGGTGCTGTGGTGGGTTGGGGCAGTATGAGGGAGCGGGGGATGCTATGGGGGGAGGGCTGTGGGGTGCGGGTGCTGAGGGAGCAGGGGATGCTGTGGGGTGGGAGTGGGGTGGTGGTATGAGGGAGGGGGGAATGCTGTGGGGGGAGGAGTGCAGGGCGTGTGGGGCAGTATGAGGGAGCAGGGGATGCT